TTTTCTCTCCAACACTGATAGCGGGTGACTCACAATGAACCGGTACACAGAAGTAACCCCTCAGCGTTGGATCAGCTCGTTCTAATGCGAATTGTCTACTTCTTCGCTCTACTATTTTGCCTCGTCACCACTCCGGTAACTGGGGGATGTTTCGGATGCCTCTCTAAGAAGAAGAAGGAGAAGACTAATAATAAGCCTAAGCAGGCGGAAGAGAATTTCGGTCAGAAGTCGAGCGATGATCATGAAGGATTACGGTCCCTCAGAGTGGGTCGACTTAACTTCACCCGCATTGTGTCCTCTCCCCGTCCTGAGGATATCTCTCACCGTCTTGCCAACCGTAATTCGCTCAGGTGAAAGCTGATGATTTCACGAGGGACCTCAGTCGAATAGGAATACTCAGACGATCCAGGATGGAATCGAGAGGCACTCGGCGCTCCATCATTCCGAGCAGTATGGACACTTAGAGAAATATATCCAATGATGGTAGAGATGAACCAGAATCTGGTGTGTCTACCATATCCCGCCGAACTAATACGACTTGGAGTCGTCACGTACTTCGAATCCAACCGTACTCGTTGGAGCCTTCGGTATGTTCAACACATCCTTCTTGCGCCTTAAGTCGCTCCGTTACTGCCCGAATACTTCTCTTGCCCAACTGCTTAATTTCCTCACCCGTACAACCAGATAGCTCCCTTGTTTATGCACTGCGTGTCATTGCTCCAAATACCGACCTCTCGGCATTAGAGTTCATCTTGCGAGATACATCCCGGTATGCGGCATCACGCTCACAAACATGATGCCCGCTCGTTGTGACTTTCAAGTCAGACACCTTCTCCATGGAGGTCTTCCACGATTCTCACTCTCGCCTTACATGCGGTATGTTCCGTACTACCTTGACGCATCATACATCGCCAATAAGCGATCGTATCAGAGGAGTTCTGACCAAGCACATGTCGATGATAGATGAAGTCATCGAGTTGCAGAACTTTCGACCCAGGCTTATAACCAGGGATGAATTGCAAATGCAGATCTGCCGCAGATCATTTACACATGAA